TGGATATTGTGGATGAGTTCTTCTGTGTCATCACGTTCTATTAGTTCTACAGCTTCAGTTTCGGAACTTTCACGCTTAGGAACACATACAGCTGTTCCCTCACCACAGTGCAACAGTGAAAAGGGACCCCTTTCAAAACGATCGCGAAAAAATATTCGTTAATTTTGCTGAACGAGACTCAAAGGTCCGAGTCGGTAAAATGATCCGAAGTTCCCATCACTACGGTATACCGCCCAGCACTACGCGGGAGTACCGCGGGACCCAACGCAACCGGGTGCGGCGCGGGACAACTCTTGATGGGCGAGTGCGGGTGCGGGCGGGAAGAGACTCGTGTGTGTGCGGGATGCGGGAGGATAAAATGATTCGCGGGACTCCCGCAAAATAGAAATTACCTAAACATAAAGTGTTTAAAACATATACATTTTTATTTATCTGTTGCACGAAAGCAAAAAGAACAACTAATATTAACATTAAAATGATTGACATGTGCAAGCTAGGCATAGTTTCTGTTAAAAATAACATTGGTTTGTGAATGTTGATGCTTAGTCTAAATAACAAATATTTTATGGGGAGTGTTTATGCTGGGATGTTGTGGAGCTTAGGAGATGTTACAGAACCATTTCATGTAAAATTCTTCATGTACTGAAAAAAAAATATATAGATTACTTTTATGTGGACTTTTGCGGGCGGGAGCGGGACAAAACATGAATGTCGCGGGCGAGAGCGGGACCAGATAAGATATATTTTTGCGCGGGACAGAAAAATGCGTCTCTAAAAAAGGTCTCTACTTTGACGTCTACACCGATCGATCTTCAAGTCGAACGCAGCTCTTTACTCTCGCATGTAACGTGACCGAATCGCAGCCTCTGCGATTGAAAAATTGCGTTTTTTTCATATTGCCATTTTATCGCAAATGCAATTAATCGTTCAGCCCTAATATGAACAAATAAGCCTGTGAAAATATATCTGCATTAACACATTTTTTATTCCAAAAAGTACATTTTATTTACTTTTATTTATTTTCTGAAAGATCAAAAGGTAAAAATACAGGTTTATTTTCACACCCTTCTTTAATCATATTTTCTTAGGGTGCCAAAATAATCCTGACCATGTCCCTCTCTCTCTCTCTCTAAAACAGCTGCTTTATGTATAACATCATAAATAATAATTAGCATGTTGCAAAACTGACAACAAAAGCTGAGTGGAAGAATTTATGCAAGAATTTATTACAAAGAGATTTCTAGGCATTCCTTTTCTTTTATTTGACACCTGGGCTGTGTTCAGCCCCGACAAAAACGGTGCAAAACGTTTTTTAAACGGAAACGGTGGTGTGTTGAACACGCTGTTCTGATGACGCAAGAGTTGCAACTATGGCAGCTGAGAAGGCCATTCTTTGAGTTCTTTTTGAAGAATTTTCGGAGCCTGATGAAAGCGGTATAAATATGTGTTTAATACTGCAAAATACGCTCGATGTTACAGTCACTACCCTTGCCTTCCAGAATTAAAAGAGAACATCCCAATCGAGTGAAGGGACTTGTGGAAACTGTGGTTCCTAATTATTGTGATCCAACATTTGCCTCGCATTTCAGGATGAAGACAAACATTTCTGGTGAAGGATAATCCACTTCTTACTTCCAAGACTGTGTTATGATCTATGACCTTATTATTTTTATTGTGAGTATTAGGCTTATAATTATTGCTGATCACTGTTGTTGTGCTATGATATTGCAATATTTACCATTAGGCTATATAATCTGAGGAGTATAGGAAAGTTTATGAAAGTGTCACTCCACAATACAATAGCAAAATATATAAATATGTAGTTGCACACCGTTTCCAGGAAACATGTCGTTCAAACCGGAAACCGTAGCAAAACGTTGTGCACACCGGTTTGAGCTTGAACTTGCCCCTGATGTTCGTTCCATATTTTATAGGCAAATGAAGATGAATGAAGAATGAACACCAACCTCCATGATCCTGTTTTATTCTCCAGGTTTCTGGTTCCTCGTGTTTTATTCTGCAGGGTTCTGGTTCCTCGTGTTTTATTCTCCATGTTTCTGGTTCCTCGTGTTTTACTCTGCAGGGTTCTGGTTCCTCGTGTTTTACTCTGCAGGGTTCTGGTTCCTCGTGTTTTATTCTCCGGGTTTCTGGTTCCTCGTGTTTTATTCTGCAGGTTTCTGGTTCACTTGTGTTCTCCTCACTCTCCTCTTTAACAAACACCATCTTCACAGCAGCAGATCTCAGTTCAGATGATACTCCTCCAGAT